ATAAAAGCGATACCACACCTGAACTCGTATAAGGTTGCTTGGATTAACTCGACTGCCATAAAAATTAAGGATATAAGCCTTATTCCCATAGAGTTTGTTGGATATCAAGAAAATATTTGGTGCAATGTGTTGACCATGGACGTGGGTCAGATTATCCTTGGTCGCCCGTCGTTATTTGACAACGATGTCCATATTTATGGGAGAACAAACACCTGTGTTTGAGCATAACGGCAAGAAAATCAAGCTTATACTCACAACCAAAACCCCATAAGACGAAGGTCAAACCAACCCCTGTCAAACCAAACAAAGGATTACACCTTTTGACTGCGAAGGAAGTGGAAAATGAGTTTAACCAAGGAGCTCCCATGTACGCCCTGGTGGCCCATGAAACCAACGAGGAACTAGGAGAACCAGTCCTGGAAGAGGTCCATCCGCTCCATGAGACTTTTGCCAGTTACCCCCTCAACGAGACATCCAGCACGCTATAGACCTAGTATCCGGAGCCTCACTACCCAACCTTCCCCACTACCGTATGAACCCGGTGGAGCACGCCAAGTTAAAAGAGCAAGTTGACGATCTGCTCTAAAGGGGATTTATCAAAGAAAGCTTAAGCCCATGTGCCGTCCCCGCATTTCTAACACCCAAAAAGAATGGCTCCTAGAGGATGTGCTGATAGTCGCGCTATCAACAAGATTACTATGAAGTATCGTTTCCTCATTCCACGCTTGGATGACATATTGGACATGATGACCGGAGCAACTCTCTTTTCTAAGATCGATCTTAAGAGCGGTTGTCATCAAATTAGAATCCGCCCCGGGGACGAATGGAAACGGCATTTAAAACTAAAGTTGAGTTGTATAATTGGATGGTTATACTGTTTGGCCTTAATAACGCTCATAGTACATTCATGAGAGTTATGGCTCAAGTGTTGCGACCGTTCTTAGGAAAATTTGTTGTGGTCTATTTTGATGACATTCTAATCTACAGTAGTTCGGTGGATCATCACTTAAATCATCTGAAGCAAGTCTGTGAAGTTTTGAGGAAAGAACAATTGTTTGTAAACCCAAAAAAGTGTATATTCGTCACTAACAGTGTCACTTTTCTCAGATTTATCATATCCTCTCAAGGAATATCTGCTGACCTCGAGAAAGTTCGAGCGATTAACGAGTGGCCTGAACCAAAAAATATCAGAGATGTTAGGAGCTTTCATGGATTAGTCACCTTTTATCGGAGGTTTATTAGGAACTTTAGTACGATAGTGGCACCCATAACTGACTGCCTAAAAAAGGGAGAATTCCATTGGACTACAGCTGCTACTAAAGCATTCGCGGAGATCAAAAAGAGAATGGTCGAGGCCCCAGTCATGCGTCTTCCTGATTTTTCTAAGGTTTTCGAAGTAACCTGTGACGCATCTGGTATTGGTATAGGAGTTTTGTCGCAAGAGGGACACCCTGTTGCCTATTTTAGTGAGAAGTCGAATGATATCAGGCAACGGTACTCGACCTACGATAAGAAGTTTTACGCGATCATTCAATCCCTTAGATATTGGAGAAATTATCTTCTTCCACAAGAATTTGTTATCTTTTCAACCCATAAAGCATTACGATATATTAACTCACAAAAGAAGCTTAATGCTGGACACGGAAGATGGGTTAAATTCCTGCAAGAATACACCTACATGATAAGACATGAAGCAGGATCCGAAAATAAAGTAGCAGACATTTTAAGCTGTAGGATGATGGTTACTCGCGAGATGAGGACTGAAGTTGTTGGATTTGGGCGCATTAGAGAAGATTATAAGGATTGTCTTGATTTTAAAGAAACATATGAACTTCTGATAATGGGTAAATATCGATTCATTGCTAATTTCCTAGTTGAAGACGATTATTTATTTAAATCCCAGAAACTTTGTATTCCTAATTCCTCCTCCGTGGATTTCTAGTTTGGGAACTACATGCTGGTGATTTAGTTGGGCACTTCAGCCAAACTTAGACAATCGTTGCCCTTGAAAATCAATTTTATTGGCCGAGTCTTAAATGGGACATTAGCAGATTGGTGAAACGGTGTCACACCTGTCAGTTGGTCAAACAAAGAAAACAGAACACTGGCCTTTACACACCACTCCATATACACAATTGTCCCTGTCAAGATGTGAGTATGGATTTCGTCCTCGGTCTTCCCAAGACTGTTAGAAAGCACGACTCCGTGTGTGTGGTTGTGGATAGATTTTCCAAGATGGCGCATCCCCTCCCTTGCTTGAAAACGTTTGATGCTTCTAGGATCGCCAAATTATATTTTGATGAAATTGTCAGACTTCATGGGTTACCTAAAACCATTGTGTCGAATCAAGACGTTAAATTCACTAGCTATTTTTAGAAGATGTTATGGTTCAAAATGGGTATGAAACTTCAATTCTCCACCGCTTTCCACCCTTAGATGGATTGTCAGACGGAAGTTGTAAACAGGAGCTTGGGCAACCTCCTTAGGACCCTGGTAGGTGAACACATTAGATATTGGGATTCTAAGTTGCCTATTGCCGAGTTTGCTTATAACAATTCCGTTAACCAAACCATGGGTCTGAGTCCAGCTAAAATTGTGTATGGATACCAACTTAGACAGCCAATAGATTTAATCCCCATGGATCATAAGTCTAGAGCATCTGAGTTAGCATCTGCATTTGCGTCACATATACAAGAATTGCATAAGGAAATTAATAAAAAGATTGAACAAAGCAATGCTAACTATAAACGTAATGCGGACCTCAAGAAACGATTTAAAGAATTCGAAGTGGGAGACTTTGTAATGGTTCGGATTCGTCTGGAGCAGTTCCCGCAAGGGGCCGTTAATAAATTACATGCGAGAAGTGCATGACCTTTCAAAATAAATAGTAATGCTTATGTGCTAGACCTTCCAGAAGGTTTTAACATTAATCTTACGTTTAACGTTGAACGTTGAAGATCCTGTAGCATTTGAGAGTCCGGAGTTTAACCTTACTAATCCACTACATACTGAGCCTTGTGTGACCCTACCTGGTGAGAAACCAGCCTACCTCCACTCCCAAACATTCCCACTTTACCACTGCGGAGAAGATTGAGGCAATCCTTAGTGACGAAATTATTTCCACTAAAGACAGTGGTCGCCAAAGGTATCTAGTTCAATTGGTAGGGAAGCCGGAGACGGAGAACGTGTGGATCGACCGGGATGAGCTGCAGAGATTGGACCCAGACCTACTGGAGTGGTACGAGAGTTCTAGAGATACTCACTCGATGGGGTCGAGTTTTCTCCCACCAGGGGAGAATGATGAGGACATCAATCCAAGATTTCGACATGTGTACCGTTGTCGGAGTCGTAAATCGACGACTACGATCCAGAGCCTGTACTTTTGATATATTTTATATTTTATTTATTTTCTATTTCTCTAGTTTACCCCTATGGGTAGTGAGTCGTTATTGTAGCCCCGAGGGCATTTGTGTCTTTCTGCATTTCTTTCATTGAGGCCTATATATTAAGGTCTCTTAGCTTTGTATTGGATGATGATTATGAAATGAAATTTTATGTTCTTTGTTTGATCTCTAAGTGAGTTCATGAGAGGAGAAATCCAAGGAGGGTGATAGCAAGACACGTCAACTGTTGGTGGATTCCAAGGTTCACGGCCCCGATCTTTTTTCTTCCCCAACTTACAATTCTTCCACAATCAACCACCCCCCCGGCCTTTCCTAACCAAAGCACTGTATTTTTTTTTCCCAAACCCGAGCCCCTTTCCCCATCCCGCCAGCCTCTTTGGCCGCCCCACCTGCCGACCAACCACCTAGCCGCCGGCCTCCCCTCCACCATCCCTTCCTTATTTCAACCGCCGACGCCCTTCCACTTAATTTCAAATTTGAAATTCAAAGTAAGCTCCAAAGTTTCCAAATTTGACAAAAGCCAAATTAGGAAAGTTTCCAATGAGATTCAATTTAATTTTAAATTAAATTGGATTTGAACTCCTCATCCATAATTTGCCGAGATGGATTAGGAAACCCTTAACTCCCTCCCCAATCCCCTCCCTCCTCTCTCAATGCTGCTGGCCTATAGGGGGATTCAAATTTTGGTTTTCCCTCTTAAATCTCCCATTCCCACTTGGAATTTGAAATTCAAAACCCAAATATTTTCCCTCCGATTTCACTTAATCTGAAATTAATTTCAGATTTCTCTTAATTTCTCTAAACCCTATCCTAGACTTAGCCGCCCCCTCCCCTCTCCACCTCCTCCCACTCGAGATCTCACCCAACCCCCTCCTCCTCTTGGCCAACTCCCCTAAGTGGCGGCTCCTCCACCTTTACTCCATCTCTACATATCAATTCCGTTCTTGATCATGAATGGCGGATCCGGAAGTTGATCACGGACTTATTCTCAATTCTCGCGAGGAGATCGACGTTATCCGGTCACCCTTTTTTGACCCCGGATTCGTAGCCGAGAACACTGTCAAGGAATACGTTGACCGTATCCTTCCTCAATTGGCGGACGTCCTCGACGAGCAACAACTTATTGAAGAGTGGAAGATCATCGGATGACTACCCGTGCCTCCAACTCTGGCTCCTCCTCGGCGACTAGCCCCCTTGGCATCACGTGTCTATTGGTGGCATCCCTAAGCTTGTTTGCAATCTTCCTCCGCTAGGCCGAGCAATATCAAGAGTGTGAGGGATCCCGAGGTGGATGATCTAGATTTTAAACTGTGGATTTTGTTACGCGCCATTCACTCTACTCTTTATTTGATGATGTAATTTTGCGAGATTCCTATTAATCTTTATTGTAATAACTTGTCATTACTTAGCCTTCCATGAATTTTTTCGAATTTCTAACTTGAATACGCACCCATTTATGCTTAGCCGAGCAAAGTTCATAATTTATCAATTTCGTATATGCAATTCTTGTTTCATCACATTGTTTCACATCAAAATTGGTCTTTAGAAGCATATGGATTATATATGCTCTAATGTTTTTTATGTTGTATTCGACAGAAGGATGAGTCATTCTACACTTTGAGTTGGGCATGTGATACTGATGGAACTCCATTATTAGTGGCGGGTGGATGCAATGGTATTATCCGCATCATAAATGCTGGTACAGAGAAGATACATAAGGTAATATTTGTATGAGGTGATTATTATCCTCATCATTTTATTGTATTTATCATAAAATCCCCATATGGTTTAAGTATTTATAATTAACTTCCATATGCTTCTCACTAAAATGTTACTATTTTTTTTCTATCGTTGTTAACAAAAGAAGTGAAAAAAACATTCTTTCTTTTGTTTTATTGCCTCAAAATTCTCACCACATTACTATTTTACCTCAATACCACCACCCCGAACACAAATGCGTCCATGCTCTGTTACATCTATGTCACCATTGTTCAAGCCCATGACCTTCTCCCTCCCTGCTATTACCATAGATGTACCGGAGCAGTTCATTGCCAAGGCCTAGCTTGAAAACCAAATTCTCAAGATGTAGTTATCATTGAATAGGAGCCTGAGCTTAGTTTAGAACAAGGACATGTTTTCATCATCGTAGAGCTATTTGAGGAAAGCTCTCGTTAATGTTGGAGGACTAAGGTTTCATTTGGGACGGCTTCCTTACTGCTTCTTAAAGCAGCTTTCTAGTATAAAAATTAAAATTTTAGTGTTAGAAAGCTGCTTTAAGAAGCAAGAAAAAAGCCATCCCAAACAAAGCCTAAGTTTTACCCCAGTTAAGGATATAATCTTTGACCACCTTGTCATTTTTCTCACCATTTCACCACCATTAAAAAGCAGCTTGATTGCCAACCCCTCCACTCCAGCTAGTTCTACTTCAAGCTGTACGAGTTGATGGTACCAGAGTTGTAGTTAAAGAGCATGGTGACAAGGAGATTTTTAACATGCTACATGAGTCATGAGCATGGGGAGATTCATGGGATATTAGAGTTGGTTGTGGTCATGATGGCCAAGGAGATGGAAGGTCCAATAATCTACTTCAAGCTGTACGAGTTGATGGTACCAGAGTTGTAGTTAAAGAGCATGGTGACAAGGAGATTTTTGACATGCTACATGAGTCATGAGCTTGGGGAGATTCATGGGATGTTAGAGTTGGTTGTGGTCATGATGGCGAAGGCGATGGCGGCTCCAATTATCTGTAGCTAGCCACTAAGTTATTGTAAAGCTTAAAATGTGATGCTTGTACTGATCCTGAAAGGCTTCAGAAATTTTCCTAAAAGTTTACTTATTGATCTGCTAGTCAAAAGTATATTGAGTTTTCTTTCATGCTGTAGATTGATCACTTTTTCTATTTTGGCCTCATCAGTGCTATGGACAACAAGTTCTCTCTCCATGTTTTAATTTTCTTCCGCTGGACAGTAAGCCAACGCTGCAAACAACCAACAGGAAGCCTATAGCCATAAACAACACCCCCAAAACAAGCTTACAACAGAATACATCACCCAATAGCAGAAAGAAGTAGCCACTTGAACTAGCTGCAAGCTGTTTCAAAGGCAAAAGCTAAGGTAACCAGGAACATGCACCATAGCAGTACCAATAAGAATCACATGACAGCAAGCAAATAGCGGCCTAGAGTATAGGAAATGGGGAAGGGACTCAACAATTAGCTACAGGAACATAATCGAGGGAATTCGGTAGAGTAGGACAGGAATTAAGGAATGAAAAGAAAGAAATTTTAGAGAGGTTTTCCTTTTTCCTTGTTGCTGAGCCTTTGAATAAACAAGTTGCCGTAGGGATTGATCTAATCCATTCTTAAACCAACTCCTAAAATACAGAAAATCTTGTTTATAATTTTTTGATAAGTTCAACTGAATTATAATTCTTGCAGCAATTATTTGATTTAATTTCAAATTCAAATTCTCAAATTTGAATTTAAATTCATATACAAATTTAACGAAATAAGGTTAAAATATTCAACTCATCCTTAGTCTTTGTAATATGAAATTAATCCAATAGTTCAACTTTTGGAGCTTCGATTTCTCTTGTATGTTCTCTTGATGATTGGATTGCACCTATGTACTCTAGACAACATCTTGTTCAATCTCGACACTATGATCCAAGAATTGCTATCATCAACAATCAACATCTAGAAAATTAGGTCATTAAAATTTTAAAGAAAATGATCATTTCAATCCTTTCACAAGAAGATGCTTGAATCATGAGGATAACTTCGTCTCATGGACTTCTTTGAGGTAAATGGTCAGATTGACTATCCTCATCATGACATGATCCTAAGATATTCCAATTTATAATTTTAAAGTCTGTTTGATGACAGCGGCAATGTTAACATTGCTGACATTGTGGAGGCTGTTTCTAGCATTAGAGATGAGGACAAAGTCTTGATCTGTGATGTTTTTAGAAGATTGGTCAATATGGAAAAGAATATTTAATTTGTGGAGTGAAAAAGGAAAAAGAAAACAATAAGCTCGCCCTTAAATATATTTGGTAGGAGTAGTACTTATCTTCATTAACATGGTGAGGAAAGGTTAGAGGTATTTATTGAAGATAAGGTGTTTGAAAATAGACAGATGAATTGAATATCTACAAACAAGTTGATAAAATTGTTATCTCCAATGACTATGATGGAAAATGGGTAGACCAAGGATTGCATGGGGGAAAATAAATTATTTAAAATGATTAATGAAGCAAGGGTGGATCCAAACTTATTTTTGAGGGTGGGCAGACTTATATATATATATAAGTTAAAATTCTGAACTAAATCTTTTATTTTATTATATTTTATGAATTTAAAAATAATTAATAATTTACCTATAAAATTGCATCATTTGCATTCATTATTTAATTTATATTATTTGAAAATGAATCTATATAAAATTGATGTTTTTTCTCTATCAACCGGCCTAAATCATCATGGTTAACAAAAAATAACCTTAGTCAATTAAGGCTTAACCAAGGTAAGGTCTTCATTAACAAAACTGTTTATTGCAGAAATCATTGTGTCTGAATTAAAAATCGGTGTTGTTTTACTCATCAATGTGATGTAGGTGCATGTGAATTTAATACAAAAACTCAGAGAAGTAATAATTGAAAATTAAGGCTGATTTGGTTCTTTGAAGTTTCACAACATCAACATTAACATCAAGCCTTTGTCCCACTACATGGGGTCGGCTACATGAATCCAAATTGATTTTGAGAAACATAGTATCATGCCGCAACCTATGCTCCATAACTCGCTCCCATAATTTTAAAGTATGACACACTAACTTAATTCCTCTATAATCCGCACACTCTTGTGCATCACCTTTGTTCTTAAACATAGGAATTAATACACTTATTCTCCACTCATCTGATATCTTTTTAGTCTTCAAAACAGTATTAAAAAGTTTAGTAAGCCAAGAAATTCTTTCATCTCCTAAGCATTTCCACATCTCTATTGGAATATCATCATATCCAACAGCTTTTCCACGCTTCATTTTCTTTAAAGCCTCTCTAACTTCAATTTTACTAATACGCCGATAAAAGCAAAATTCTTTATTTTCATTTAGGGTGCTAAAGTCACTAAAGTCAGTCGTATTTTCACTCTCTTCATTAAAAAGTTTAGCAAAATATCTCATCCACTTTTGTTGAATATCATCTTATAAGAAAATTACTTTTTGATCTTCATTCTTAATACACTTCATATATATATATCATTCTCCCTCAGTATCTAATATATTATATAAATTATTAGAAATTAAGCTCTTTTCATCACAAATAACTTTCTTAGATTCCTTATGAGCCTCTTTATAGCTTTTTCAATTATCAGAATTTTTACATCTAAACCATTTTTATAACAAATTTTTTTATTTTTTTATCTTTTCTTGCACATTTGGATTCCAACACCAACTATTTTTACTATTAGAAGTTTTTCCCTTCGAAACTCCAAGCACTTTTTTTGCAATATTCTTAATATCACTAGCAACTTTTTCCTACATAATATTAGCATCTTCATGCACAGACAAAATTTTAAGATCTAAAATCTTACTCTCAAAAATACTTTTGTTAATATTCTTTAAATACCCCCATCTAATCCTAGAAAATCGTTTTACTTTATTTTTAATTTTATGCCCTTTATCTTATAGTCCAAAATTAATAATCGATATTGGGTCGAAGTTTCATATTTTATATGGAAAAAATCAAATTTACGAGAAGTTTTGCTAAAAGAAATTACTTCAAATAAAAGGCAGGAAGCTAATTACTTTCTTGTTAGACCCAAAACAAAGAAAGCCCACGAAAAGGGGAAACTTGGCTTCGAAGAGAGAAGCAAAGGCTAGAGGAAAGACCAGTGGGTTCTAATGTAGATTTTAAAAACTTGAAAAATCAATAGTAAAAATGAAGGTGTTCGAGAAGTACCTCTCGACATCTCTTAGCTTGGGCTAGAAGCATGCCTTAAGCAATTTTTAACAAAATGACAATATAGAGATAGTTTGCGAAAATGACATAAGCAGTAAACTAATACATATCTATGTGCACGGAAAAGGAATGAGAGAAAAGTGAGGGAGTATAACTACTTGTCGAGAGGAAAGAGAAAAAAAGTGCCGATCGTCGATGGAGCACTGGAGCTACTATGTTCAGCCTTGATCGCACAGGTCGCGGGAGGTCGGAACTAGAGTTCGGCGAGACCTGTAGGTTGGCTCGGCTAGGGCAGGAGGTCACGTCCTATGCAAGCCACAAGGCAAGAGTCGGAGGAAGGAGGCATTTCACAAATAGAGAAGGGAGCTCCGGTCCTCCAGAGCTTCGTCTTTGGTGGGAAAATGAATAAGAGAGGGGAATCGGAAGAGGGAGAACAGATCATAGGCTTCAACCTCTTTTGCTTGTTGGGCCATGAAGCTTCGACCATTGCGAGAACGACTACCTCTTCAACGCCGAAGGCTGTGTGCAATTCACCAATGCCGAAGACGAAAAGTTCGAAACTTCGGATGGATGGACAAACAACACAAGATGGGTCATATTAGGGAAAAAAATTCAGGTGGGCAATTGCCCAGCCTGAATTTTGTGGGGATCCTCCCATGAATAGGTTCAGCGCATCATATAACACTCAACAAGAATGATTGATAATGATAATTCGTATTGCCGACCCCAAAATAGTTGGGATTAAGCTTATGATGATAATGATGGAATTGCACTTTATCTGTCAACTTGTATAGAAAAAATAATGGTGACACTTTAGTTAGACAAGTTGACCACATTTTGTTAAGTCATATTGGATTTATGCGCTCATTGCGGTAAAGCGATGAGAGTTAAGTGTAAATAATTCTTATTTGTTTATTTATATTTTAGTCAATTTACTTGGATTGAAATCTCTTTTTGAAAATAAAAAAAATTCATATCAAAGTTAGTTTTTCCTCTCTTAGAATTATAAGTAAAACGGGCCTATCAGTGCAGGCTTTAGGAGGGAATGTTATCAACAATATTTACCATGCATTAATGATAATTGTTTTCATGATTTGAATTCATGACCTTCCGGCTACAATGGAGGCAACCCAACGATTATTATAGTCCGGCCCTCATTTTTTTATCTAAAATATTAAGAAATAGTGCTGTCCTCATTCCTTTATTTAAAATGCTAAGAAATAGTCTCCAGTTGCATCTGAAACGTATGGCTGTTTGGTTTGATTCTTGATCATATTTCGAAAAGCAATTTCAGTACAATACTGATGCATATCAAGTTTGCTGCTTAGACCTATAACTATTTTTAACTTTGAAGGTAGATAGCCAACGTTGAAAGCATTTGCTTGCATGTTGCAGAGTTTTGTTGGTCACGGGGATTCAGTAAATGAAATAAGGACTCAATCACTGAAACCTTCACTTGTGGTATCTGCTAGCAAGGTAGTTCAAAGTATTCATTGGTCATAATGGCTCCCCTGTATGCATAATCAGTTTTTGAGGTTTATTTAAAATTTTCACAGGATGAATCAGTGCGATTGTGGAATATACACACTGGGATTTGCATTCTTATTTTTGCAGGGGCTGGTGGCCACCGAAATGAAGTTCTAAGTGTTGTAAGTTCTTTGAAATTTCTCTTAGCTAACCCAAAATTTCCAAGATTTGGAATGGTAGATATATTGTTGTTTTTTTTTTTTTTTCATTTCAGGACTTCCATCCATCTGATATTTACCGCATTGCAAGTTGTGGCATGGACAACACTGTTAAAATTTGGTCAATGAAAGGTAAAATAATTGTTTGAATTTATGATACAATGGTTTTTTAGCTCAAGTACCTGCTTTGTGACATTTGGCTGGCATTCGCAGAGTTTTGGCAGTACGTTGAAAGGTCCTTTACATGGACTGATCTCCCATCAAAATTTCCTACAAAATATGTGCAGTTTCCTGTGAGCATCAAATCCTTTTAATGTTAAGAAG